CGAGTGACACTGCCTTAAAAATTTATGCAATTAAAAAAAAAAATCTACAAATTTTCGTTAAAATTTCGAGTTTTTTAATTAAATTCTGAGTATGCAGTTTTGTAGCCCATTGAATTCTAGCAGAATAAAGTACACGTTTCAAATGGCTAAAAATGTCGATTGATTTTTTTGAATTTTTATAAGTTCGAAATTTGTACGAAAGTTTGTTGAATTTCTTTTTTAATATTGCACAAATGAGTAGTCCACTTGCAAACAGCATTATGTGATTTTATAATAGTGATCCATAAATAAAAAAAACTCTACAACAACAAGTAACATCCAAATTGTAATTTCTCTTTATTATCTGAAAATTTGGATAAACGAGAGCCTAATAACATTATTTATATATAAAAATTGAATATAGCGAGTTTTGAAACAGTAACTTTTACATAGCTATCTTTTTTTTTTGCTTTTCGCGTTCGCTCTTTCATGAAAATTGGTCTGCTTCTTTTTTACGACGCCTTCCACTAAGCACCGAAACTACCACGTTTACTTGCAGTTTTCTAAGTTCATCAGAAGATGGAGACTTTTGAAAGTGTTTAAATAAGTATTATAGCGACTTTTGCAATAGTATTTAACATTCGATGCAATTTTTTCAGAAAATAGAAAGGCTTTGCACTGTATTGTTAGTGGACATGAAACTACTTTAAATACTGGTACGTTACTCACCAAAAACTAAAAATCTAAAAAAAAATTTACATAGCGCATTAGCAAGTGGACTGCTCAAATTTGGAAACATGAATTTCCACGGGGTTTGTTAAAGAGCGAACTATATTTTTATTTAAAAATATAACAAAAGTTCAATAACAACAAATATAATACGTTAAAACTTGGCAAAAAGTGGTATGGTTATAATTTTTTGACCACTGTATGTCAGAACCCCCACATAGTTTAAATTAAAAAACGTTTAAATAAACAATTGGGCATTATTATCTGAAGTCCCCTGAAGAGAAGCAGAGTTTTCAGATTGAAAATTTTTGATTTTCATGGATTCTATGCCATTTCTACGAAAAGTATTTTTTCCCATACAAAATACATGGGAAACTTTGAGCGCTTTGAGCGACCTCTAAATATATTTTGATTTTAAAATAAAAAAACAGGGGTATACTTTTTTCGGTATAGAACAATCCTAGGGGGTGAGAGCATTAAATTTCCGATTTTACTTTTCTCCCATACATTTTTGGACCACCCTAATGTACCTATGTACGTTATTGCTGTTCTAGCATCAAGGAATTAATTTTTATGAATGCAAGAAAAAAAATGTATTTTGATATTTTTTTCAAAGTAATCATTGCATTCTATTTTCAGGTCAAAGAAAGAAACAAATTCACAAACTTTGCTCGGTAAGCTCTTTTTAAAGACCTATAGCAGAAAAGTTTAAAGAATTCGAGGCGTTGATGAATTACATCAGGTGCGCCCCATGAAACGTTAGATTTCCTTGAAGAAAATGTTTCTTTATTTCAGCTCTCAAAAAATTGTCTAGCTTACGCACGTAGATACATATGTACCTATTCCAAATAAATACTTAAAAATTATGTGAATGGAAAGTAATAACCAATTACTATCGTAGCATTCCTCACTTATAGATTTTTTCCCTGCGACCCTAGAAATTTATTTCATTAATCCAAAGCATATATGCCTATGTATATGATCTCGATAAATATACTTCCCAGAACAATCCCGAAGT